ACCCCTGTTAAGTTTATGGACAACCGACCGGTGAACTGAGCACAATTATTGAAAAATGATTACAGTAGAAACAGGCTACTAACCCACAAGTACAGCTTTGTACGTACAAACTCTATGAACAAAATTCCCCAGCAGATTGTGGCGACATTGCAGATATGTTCAGTCACAAAAGTTACTTATGTTCTAAATAACAGTGAGATTTAAAGTAATGGAGAAAATATGGGGACGTTCTTTTATAGTGTGTGAAATATGTGGTGCTTGAAACATGTAGGTATTTTTAATTTATAGAAGAAAATGGTTTCCTGAAAGAGTTATTTGGAGTAGCCATGTTAACAGTGGGTGGAAACAATGTTTAGGGATATGGCACAACCATTAGTAGACATTAATTGGGTTTAGATGACATTTAACATCTAAGACAGATAGTAAGATTAGGAAAATAGAGTGGAAAGGATTGGATATATTTTACCTCAGTGTGTTAGAATTAGCTATAGGTAATGCCTCCCGAGATCTCTCTCTCTCTCTCTGCCTGTCAGAATGCTACGACCCCATCTTCAGACAAATGACCTCACCACAGGAGACTCCTCCTCCGGTTTAAAGACAGACAACCCGAGCTGAACCAACAACCACCTGAGGCATCCAGAACCATCTCCACCTGAGGCATCCAGAACCATCTCCACCTGAGGCATCCAGAACCAAACCAGCATGCTGACAAAGAGGCAAACTCATCGGTCCCTCAAACAGGACATGAAGTTCCAAACTGAGCCGTGAGATTTGGCACAAGAGCAGAGTGTGGGACATGAGAGCAGAATACACCACTCCATGCAACAGCCAAGAGACTGAAAAGGAGGAGATGAAATGCAAAGCAGTTGGGCCACTGAAAAGAATTACAGCGGGAAGATCCAAGTGCGGATGGACTGAGGAGAAGACAGGATGGAGGAGAAGACAGAACCAGAGGAGTTGGCATGGGCCAGCAGAACGTGAGGGGGTCGTGGCTTGACGACCAGAGGGGGAGAGAAGGAACACAGGAGTGAGTGAGTTTACACATAAACACACTTATTAGAAAATAATCCTAAAAACACACTGAGGGTAGAACATATTATTCAATCTTTTCATAATATAAACAAATTATTCTTATAGAGATTCTTATTCATGTGAGAATTTGGGGAAGATTTAATTAGTTACAATATAGATAGCAGGCAAATCTTTATTTGAATGGAAAATGTTAAAGGTAGAGCTGGAACCAAGCCAAAGAAAGTATTCCAATCTAGAGTATTGGTTTCTCCATTGTAGCATGGTTATTACCACAGGAGAACTGTTAAGGTGGAAACAACATTTGTTTGTCGTCCAAGATGTAGAGTTTTAAAAAGACACTAGGCAAAGAGCGATTGAAGATTTTAATTTTGAAAAAACTAGTACAATTGGGAGTAATACATGCGGGGCTTTGGATCACTCATTTTAATGGTGCATATTTTCAACAATAAATATCGCTCAGGGAGAAGGGGTCGCTCAACCCACCCTGCAGATGTTTTAAATCTTACTTGCAGCTTCAGAGGGAGCGCACGGCACCAGAGTATGAGTTTTAAAAGACAAGTGCCACCACCTCCTAATGCTCATCCATTTAATCAGTGATGACCTGACATTTAGAGATGTTATTTAAAGGAGAAACATATCTGTCATGAGTGAAAATTCCTGAATTGAACTACAAACCATTAATGAAATGACTTCTGTTTTTGAAGTCCTTGTTAGAGCACCCAAGGTTCCACACACTGTAAAGGGGGTTAGCATAGTTATTTAAGTAGACCAGAAATGAAAATAAATTAGTATAATGAGTTATTGATATTCCACCGGTTTTCACACCATTTCAGGGACTTTATCACTGCATTAGAACAGACCACCCCAAAGCCAGTAGGGCTAAGAGACCAGTCCCAGGGGGAGTTTAGGCTCCAGGGTAAAAGGATAGCATAGGGGCGCCCAGGGGAGGCCTAAATGTAACACTAATTCCATGTCCTAAAATACCGATTGATCACGACGGCCTCTTCTAGAGAACATATTACTTTCATACCTTAAATGGTATGAAAGGAGGGAGGGTAAATTTCTCATGAGGAGACAGTTACAAATGCTAGTAGAACAAGACGGCCCACCCCAATACAGATGTTGATGAAAATGATGAGTTAGTTTGAATGATGTTAAACGATATGGATGTTCAGAGATGAGGTTGTTCAATGAATGTCCAGCCGATGTGACTCTTTAAATGATGACATCATCTGAAGAAGTGAGCAAAATAAAATGCTAAAATGGAGTGAATCCATTTCACTGAACTCTATACTATTCCAAGATAGTGTATTTTTATTTTTAATTACTCTATACTATTCCAAGATAGTGTATTTTTTGTTTTATTATTACATTACACTGGTACAAGATAGTTTATTTCATTTTTATTATTTTTCACTGTTCTATATGGTAGATTTCATGTATTTTCGAATCATTACAATTCTAAAATGAATAGTTTATTTTCACTTTGTAAAAACAAGTGCCTTAACACTGAGTGTATTATAAGAACGGTTTCTGTGAAAGGAGGGAGGAAGAAATGTTCTGATACCAAGCCATTGCTGCTATTTTGAAGAGCCATATTGAATGTTAACACTAGAAGTTATGCACAAGGGAAAACTTTTATGTTTGAACAGAGTCAAAGTATTTTTGTATTTTTGTAAAGTTGAGGATATTCGCACTATTCCATTTTGATTGTATGTTTTTGATATGAATGATGTACTATGCAGAGTTCAGATGAAGAACTCATTGATTTCAGTATTATACACACCTTTTAGGTGTGTAAGGAGGGACTGTTAGAAATTAAAATCAATGTTTTGATGGCATAATGTACCTTAAATGTACCTTCAGTTTAAATGCTGTTTTATACTGAAAAACCAGAAAATTATTGTGCACAACCAGTTAAGCTTTTATTCTGAAAATCCTTCATCTCCGGTTAGCATGTGGCTAGTTTACCATTTCTTATAGAGGTTAATTTAGTAGCGAAATGACATGGAGTGATGCACACCGAAACCTACTGATTTTAACACTGCAACTATAGACGTATTATTATTGCTGAATATTAAATGAAGGTATAGTTTATTTGAATAAAGTTATTGTTTACAGACGTGGGTAAGATGTGACAACTTCCGGAATGACCAGAAACCAAACCAGCCGTGAAGTATTTTCTGTATTTTTTAGAATATTAACTACAACGTTTAGAATGTGTTAAAGGAAAAGTGATGAAAGACAATATGAGGAGAAGAGGCGTGTTTAAGTATGTATTGAATGTACAATGCCTGAATCCTCTGTTTAAACGTAACAACGGACATTAAGATGTGGAGGGCCGGCCCGCAGGGAGGAGCCTACAGAAGCTATATAAGAGCAGCACCTGAGCGGTTCGGCCTCTTTTCTCTGCTAGCGAGGGCCAGAGACAGCTGCTTTTCTGTCGGACAATATCCTGTTTGTGACTGTACCGCGCCTTTTATTAATTAAAGTACCAATTTGAAAACATCTCAGAGACTCCATTTAGTCTCCTTTTTAAGCTTCTCTTTCCTGGACGCGAGAATAACCATCACAGTTAACACACCTTAAAATACAATAAAAAATAAAATATGAGTGGCATTACTATACAAACATGTGTTGAGTAGGAAACCACAGAGGAAAATTACATTCAAAGGAGCAATTAAAGCGAGTGAAGCCAGTTTGAACACATTATCTTTTAGGCTTGCTTGAAAATAACACAGTGTCTGACATATGTTATATCATTACTGTCATATAATTGCTTACTATTCGTGGTTATCAGACACTTAAACAACAGAGAAGGTTTTAAGAAATAGGACTATTGACAAATCACATATTATCCTGTCATTGTCTGTTCTGTAGGAAGGAGGAATATAACAGAGTGGGACTGCACTCAAAAACGGAAGTTTGTTCCAATACGAAGATTGTGACTATCTGAAAAGTGTCCTTAAAACGAGCCTCCTCGCAATTGTATGCACATTATTTATTCAGCCGTTTGCTGTTTAATCTGATGGGAAATATATCATTCAAAAGAGAGAGAAAAGCTTATTAAATATATACAGTCTATGATTAGACGAACGCTCAATACAGGCGATGACGTAACGTTTGCGCGTCCCCGCGAACAGGGCTTCAATCTACGGCACAACACCGGCAGTGGGCGCTGTTCACTCTCAGGAAACTGGACTTTAATCAAGAAGGACCCAGTAGAACTACATTATTTTGAACTCCTAATAAACATGTTAATTTCAGTTAGTATTGCGAGAAAAAACATGTGTAGCCTACTCTCGATTGACAGTATGGCAGTTCACATTTAGATCTGAAGTATTGAGACATTTAAATGGCTATTATCACAAGAGATTTATTTACAATAAAATACAACGGGACTCCAGAATCAGTTTCAAAGTTGTCATTACCACTCAGCCTTATGTTCATTAGCTCTGATTCAACTGGGCAATCTTTATCAGAATCAGACACAGAATATTGCTCCATCTGAGAAATACATAAATAAAATACTTTTAAAAAATCTTAAAAGTGATACGGCTGTTAAGGTGTAAGCCATCTATGTTTTTCATTGTATTTCAACAAGCATTTTAGTTTGTATTATCAGTTGCATATGACTGAGTTATTGAATTAAATTTCAGTATATTTTGTTACATTTTAGATTCCTTATACTTTCCTTTTAAATCCATTTGCGATGTGACAAAAACAAAATCACCAGAAACAAGTACAACTACATAAGGGTTACCCAAGAAGTTACCTATATCTGTTTGACACAGAGTAACATTACAATTATTTTTGATGCACAACATATTTCCAAAATTGACTTTGCTTTTTCCTCCATTTTGGTATCCACCAACTCCTGAGAAAGAGTTTGTCTTTACTCACTTACAAATAAACCTGTGACCTGTTGGACCAATCACAAAAAGGAGAATAGTATCAAAACACAAATGTCAGGTTCGAGTGTTTTATTGGCACATACAACTCACCTTTAAAAAAAATAAAAAAGTTAATGGTAGAAGAATCAAAGTGTTATCATTCATTTAGACACACAGTAACAAAAAACAACTGTTTTCAGATAACAGTGATGAGTTGGCTACTTCAATTAGGAGGACAGCATTTATATAAAATCACACAGATATATAAAAACATGAAAGTAAACACTTTTACAAATGTGCTGACATTCTGCTAATGAACTGATTTGGTTATTTGTTGTACATTTTATACAAAAGGCACTAAACAATGTTGCAGCCACACCCACAGCAATTCCGAATTATTATTTTGTGACTTGTAACACGTGTTCAAAATGTTTACTTCACACAGACACCATTGATGAACCAACTAACAGAATATAGGCCACATCATGAGCAATACCTCACCCAAAACACCCGACAGAGTGCGTTTGATATATAAAAAAAAGACACATTTTGGATGGAATATCTATCAAAATTAAGACAGTTAAAATTAAGAGCGTACCAGTTCCAATGTAAGCCTCACTTGCAGTCTATATAAACAATTTAGAGGTGAGACATCAGGGATAACATCGGTGGGACAGAAGAATATACGATCTTAAATCAATCGTTCATCGAGGAAAATTGAGAAATTACGGAACATCCCGGTAGAAATGAAAGAAAAAATAGACAAATAAAAAGCAAAAAAACTGAGGTCAGCTGACATGGCTCGGTTAGGTTTCCAGTACGTGTTAAAAAGTTCACAACAGCAACACGTGTTATAAGTGTGGGGTAAATCACAGCAAAAATACTCCTGTAAAGAGAAAAGACCACACTGTAGCAACTGGTTCACTCTGGGAGAGCTCTGAATGGACAACACATATAAAAACACAGTTAACAGGTCCGATTTAAGAAAGAAGGATGGACACATTTTAACTGTTAAGTGCTTTTCAAAATAAAAGGAGTCAAAAATATTCAATAACAATCATTACATTATTTTGACAAAGTTTAAGATTAAGATTTGAAGTAGCGATCAGCTTGAGTGCACTTACAGGCGAAAGGAATTAAAGAAAACTTGCATGGTTGCATATGCTAGGTTCTGTAATTCATCTTTTTGTATACCTCCAAAAGCTCCTCATTGTCTTCAGTGGTTTCCTTCATTTTGGTCATAAGTGTAGTTTTACACTGAGGACTGTTTTTCAGCCTGAGAGTTGCTGGTATACCTTATCACTGAAAAACTAGTGGTTAGCCTCTGCTCCACAAGCTTCTACATCGAACTTGGTAAGTCTCTAAAAAAAAGATTTTTCGCACTATATTGTGTGCTGAATGGGAATCTAGCACTTAAAATGGCAGCTTAGAGTGAAAAACGCAATGTTTTCATTGTTCAAAAGACATTCACCTCGCTAAAGATGTTGGTAAAACAGAGGCTAGCTAGGAACGATGGCAGGACTCAGGTTGGGTTGCACAAGCTGTTTGTAAATCCATGAGTAACTTAACAAATGTCTAAGTTTGTAAAGACTTCGGTAACGTACGTATAAACAGGAGGTTACTGTAGCATAACTTCCAAAACATATGAAATATAATTGTAAGGGTTTTTTACGGCAGTTTTATTTGGGGGGGCTTGGTTTGTTTGTGGAGGGTTATGGTGAAAAAACTACAGGCCACATTTTAAAGAGCAACGTTGGTAGGGTGTAGTATGGTCCAAGGAAGAACCTATTACATTTTGGAGTGGATCCAAATCACAGGCCGAAAACATTAACATAACCATGTTTCACTTGCATTAGCATTAGAACATTCTCAGGAACTCCCCCACTTGGAACAACAACATAGAAACAGCTGTTGTTTAAACATTCAGAGGAAAAAATACAATATCTTATTAGGAGCATCCATGCTCATGAACACACATGAAATTGGGAAAACGATTTCCCAACTCAGGAAGTTGCACCATTGGCTTTAAAAGACTGTTTCGGCATTAGTAGCATTACTAGCTAATGCTAAACTAGCTTTAATTAATACTGTTTTTAGGGCATAACATTTATTATTATTTTCAGGAAATTCAATTTTAAGTCTTTCCACTTAAAAAGGATTTCTTAAAAGCATTTGTATTGCAAGCTGTCAGGTCACATAGCTCTTATCTCCTCATTCTGAACTGGTCTCATATTAGCAAGCTAACATTATGTTAGCTTTGTCAGTCGGTTTAGCTACAGTAGGAAACAAGTTGTAGTGCAGTTTGGCAACAGCTGTTCTTTTAGGGAAAATGTGTTTGTGTTTTACAACTTGCTTTAATTTTGTTGCATTTATCTCCACTTAATAAAAATGTATCTTAAGGCCAAGCTAACATTGAACTTACAAAGAGCTGGTCCAACAAACAGCAGAGATGTTTACCTTCACAAAGACAGTGAATGATTAGAATACTGCTTTACAATACAAAGGGATCATACCAGGTACTTCATGGTTAAATCTAATGATCTGTAAATGTCATTGGGAGCGGGGCTGTGTGGCCTATTGTCTAATACAATACATTGAAGATTCAACACAAAACAGCTTCACAATCTTTTGACAGTTTTAGAACAATGATATCAACAAGGCAATAATGGCAAGAGTAGATAAGCTTAGACTAATAAAAAATACGCCTTCATTTTGACCTTCGAGGGTGTGGTTTGGTTGCAGTGTGCTTGCGTCACCCACATCTGTAGACAAGGTCTGTACAATAATAAATTCACAGCAATTTCCAATCAGGAATGACCGAGGGGAATCCCCTTTTCTTCTTAGTAACCCAGAACTCTGTTCAACAGATCCTTTCAGAAAGTCATTATCCAGTGACCGTTTGAATGGAGACTAATAATCATGTCAACAATAATAAATAAATATGTAGAGACACAGGGATTGTAAGAAAAGCAAAAAAGGAGTGGAAGGCACCATCCTTCCTGAGAAAAAAGTGAAGGAATGGATGGAGAGATGATGTAACCCTTGGAGTTCAAGACTTCTGTGGTTTGTCTTTTTCTGTCATTCGGAGACTCGCTGCAAGAGGAATTCTCAAATGGCAGCAGCTACTTTTCATCCATTTTTGTCTTTTTTTTAAAGGTATAATTTGCCATTTTGGCCTCAAACACTGGCGGCAACTTCGAACGGTGTTGGTCATTTTGAAAATGTCAGTCATTGTAGAGCTGTTTCCCCTTAAAGTATAAGGTTGTGGTCCCAGTTTCAGCCATTGTACTGCTGCTGATAGCGGCGGTTCAGCTCCCGCAGCTCCTTCTCTCTCACCCGCCGGGCCTTGTTGGATTTGGTGGAGCGGCTGGAGCGGGTGGACTGCGACGACTTGGTGCTGTGGCAGCGCGACGACGCCCGCTTCAGGAGGTTCTGAGATATGGAGCGCTGGAGGTTCTTGTTGGAGGAGGAGGCGGCCATGCTGACCACCCAGGGGTGCTTGATGGCCTGGCCCGCTGTCAGCCGCTCGCTGGGGTCCACCATCAGGATCCGCTCCACAAAGTCTTTGGCCAGGTTGGACACATTGGGCCACGGCTGGAGAGGGACAGAGGTTAGAGTAAACTGTCAACAGGAGAACATTGGTTCCCTAACTTAGGTGAAGGCAACGAGGGAGAGCACATTTCTAGTTCTGGAAATATTAGTCCTATAAAAATACTCTGTTTTGAATCATTTGTGGTAGTCAGAGTTGGGTGTCACCACAAATGCGAGTAATAATATTACTTTTGTCGGTAACGGAGTAGTGTAACGCGTTACTTTTATAATTCAGTAATCACACTACAGTTACTAACATTGCCCCGACATGCGTTACTTCGTTACTTTTATAAAATAATCACACTCACTGACAGACTAGAGGGGTTTCCGCCGCAGGTTTATATCGGTTTATATACATGTAGGCCTATGTAATCTGCGCGACTTGCGAGACCACATCTCCACGTGCAGCAGTGCTGCATAAACATGGCTGAGTCTTCTCATCTGTAAACTCCCTCAACGGGGCCGCTCGCTCTCTTTTGTTGATCGCCCTCTCACGGGTGAACAGTTCAATGTCCCGCTTCATTGTAGGAATTCTGTCTCTACCACTTTAGTTTGACCATCTCTGTTACTAAGTTATGGAATACTAAATACATAAGTAATTAGATACCTTACCGTTATGCGCTCATAAAGAATGATAAGAATAATGCGTCTTGAACTGGTTTCATTAATTAGTGTCTTGACGTTTCACAGACTGTTAGCTTGTTGTGTGGCTGGTAGCCTATTTGAGAGCATATAAAAAGAAAGACTTGTGTTATGTCTTCCTTAATGCAATAGTAATTGGGGGGCAAGTGGAGTCTCGCAGAGGAAAAACTGTGGCGCGCACACTGTAGGTGCGCCGCAGTCTGCGTGATCTGCCTGTAGGGGCGGGCCGGCCCTGCGAGTAAAGTAACGAGTAAAGTAACGAGTAAAGTAACGAGTAAAGTAACGAGTTACTTTATGTAGAGAGTAACGAAGTAGTGTAATATATTACTTTGTTTAAAAAGTCATATGTAATATATTACTTTTTTTTAGTAACGACCCCATCTCTGGTGGTGGCCATGTTTTTTTTATACTCAAAAGGTTCTGAAAACATAAATATCCAAATATTTTAGAAGTTCAAACATTTCAGAAGTTAAAATGCCAGGCATATGATGTTTACTTCCTCACTGAGGAGTTCATTGTCTGTGTTTGTTCACTATGAATTTAAAAATAAAATGAAACATTGAAAAATACTGACTTAAAAAAAAAAAAATTACAATTGATATCCTTTTCGAAAAATGAATCCAAAGAAAAACATTTTTAATTAAATTGCAATTTAAACAATACTATCCGAGTTAGAAAAAAAAGGTGATCAAGCTGGAACATGAGTTTCTGTCAACTCTTGGAACATACCACACCACAAAAAACTGATTTCACCTTCCAGAAGATACTGGAATGATTAATAATTACCGCATAAAGATACCGCAATTGATTAATAATGAATCCCTCATGTTTTTCACCTGCAGTATGGTCTTGCAGAATAAAATAACAATAATTGTAATATTGCAGTTGATCATATGTGGTCGGGAAGATATTACTGGTGACAAGAGTGTGGTAGAGACTAGTACTCAAGTGAATCCCTATATCAAAGATTTGAACTGTATAGCTCCGATCATGTATTATTATGTATATGTTGCTAAAAACTTCTGAGACACTTCACCCAAACACAAATTAAAAACTTTCGGAAAAACTACAAACTACATTCAAGTTATCAAAAATCCTGTGATAACAAACTAAAACTTAACTAAAATGAAACATAGCCTAATTGAAAGAAAGACAAATGTATGTGTTCTTGTGTTAGTCGAATAGTTACTGGACCATGATTGGCTTACAAACTAGATGTGATGTCACAAAATCATACAGGGTAGACTGATTTAAATTAAGTATAGATAAATTATATAGAGAACAGATTAATGTAAAAACAGCCTGTGCAAAATTAATCTGCAAAGTGAATTTACAATAAACAAAACCCTTTTTAGTTGAGGGGAGGGCGTTTAAAAAAGAAATGTGTAAGAAAGTAGTTTGTTGGCATCAATGCAGCTCTGTCCACCGGACAAAAGAGGGCAGCAGAGTGATACACATGTGGGGACAGAACGTTAAGATCTGAACTGTAACGAGTTTAACATTTTATCCAAGCTAATATGATACAATTACTCTTCTTTTGATATTGTTTATATTGTCTGCTAATTGAATGTGACTGCTTGCTTGTTTGTGCATGTCTTGCTAGAACTTCACATTTTGAAAGGTCTAATGCAGGGGTCGGCAACCCCTGGCACGCGTGCCAGCATTGGAAGCAACAAGCTTCAGCTTCAATAACCCACTTTAGCTGAAATGACTGGAGAGAGGCGAGCTCTTCTTGGGAGGCCGTTGCATTTATTTAGCTGTTCTTCTGTTTCACAAAATACATCACAGACCTCTGTTTTTCTGCTTCCTCGTTTCACTTCCAGAAACATGCACACGTTCCCTCACTGTCGCTCTACCATCCACAAACACACATGCACAAGCCACACCCCTCTCTCTCTCTCTCTTAAAGGGACAGCGATCTCATCTCACTCTGCGTGACCCTAATATCATAACATGTGTGTTCTGGAGAATCACAGAACGGACTGATAGTTCACGAGCGTCAAGCTCCTCAACCCCCCCCCCCCCCCCGGTTGATAATTCTCGATCGTTGGCACGCTGATAACAATTTTTTTTTTTTTTTTTTTTTTTAAATGGCACTTCATATCAAAAAGGTTGCCGACCCCTGGTCTAATGTATCATAAAATGTCCTTTGAAGCAAGTTTCCTCATAACTACACTCAACGTTCTTTCCGAGAAGTGTTTAGTATGAGTGACTAGTAATGAGTCAAACTCTACCCCCTACTTAGACAGGAATTTTGAATATCAACGCTGCACACACACACACACACGTTTTCAGTGTCCCAGTAGACAACTAACCCCCCTCCTCACACAGCAGGTAAATCACCAGTGCTGGCTAAAGATACATGACACAACAAAAGCCTCCGACATACATTTCACCTCCACCTATTACAACGTCTAGGCTGCGATTATCTCTGGACTGTAGCTGTAAATGTGGACATTATTTATCGCAGTTGTAAAGACATGTTCCCAAGCATTTATGTCTGCTGTAGCTCCAGCTCTCGTTTACCCTTTCTTCAACTAGTTCTCTGCAATACAGAGTAACACAATACAAGTTGTTGTGTGTTGTAGTGCACAGACCTGGTAGTGCATTACGTGCAGTAAAATAAGTCACATCAATACAGCATCCAACGACAGTATTTAAATCATTGGGATTTATGAATTCTGTAGTAGTACATTATTACGCCCATCCTAATCGCAAGGATACAAGCATTTCGCTGCAAATAGTGTTTAAAAAAGTATGTGTGTATGTCAAAAACAATTGTACCTCTGAGTCACAAACCCACAAAGAATGATCACCCAAGTCTGCAGTTTCCCTCAGTTTTACATAGCGCTGGTTAAAGAGGCCCTAATCTGCTCATTTTCAGGTTCATATTTGTATTTAGTGTCTCTACTGGGACATGTTAACATACTTTAATGCTCAAAAAGCTCTTTAGTTTTCTCATACTGCCTGTGCTGCAGCACCTCTTTTCACCCTCTGTCTGAAACCAGAGCCCAGTCTGCTCTCATTGGTTAGCTGGCTAGCTCTGTTGTGAATGGTCAACGGATTAGAGATATCCCACAAACAATGTGTTGGAGCGCTAAGCTATCGAAGCAACAGCAGTGTTTCCCACAGATCTGAAATATACTTGGGGGGTTGGTGGTAGCGGGGGTGGGGGGGGGTTTAGGTGACGTGCAACAACATTAACCTTTCTGTTGGTCGCTTGTTAGCAGACCCTTCACGCGATGGCAGAGCGAACAGGTACAGGCAGGGCCCATAATGATAGCCCTATAGTTTAAATCTACTACCCACACATGAACATATGGAAATGGGTTACTATTTAAAAAAATAAATGTATTTATTAATGTATTTAGGAACCTATCCATGTGATTTTTAGTGGGGGTCGACCTCAAATCCTCTAGGGGGGTCCAGGGGCATGCCCCCCCGGTAAGATTTGTTTTATGTTGGAGTTAAATGCATCAATCTGGTGCATTTTGAGGGGAAAATAAAGAGACTAGATATATGGAAACACCTATATTAAACAGAACTGTATACATTTCAATAATCATAAAATCAAGGCCATAACCAATAACATACCATTTCCAATATGAAAAAAACACTGAAACTTGTTTATTAATTTATTTTTGGTTCATTTATAGTTGTGTGTGTCTGTGCTCCAGAATCAGCCTCTCCGGTCTCCCTCCTCTCCCCCTCCTCTCCCCCCCCCCCCCCCTCTCCATCCTCTCCCCCTGCTCCTCTTTGAGGCAGCAGCAAAGACTAGTTTTCTCTCAACAAGTTTTAAAAGTGTATCTTATCTTTTTTCACCTAGTTAACTTTTTATTTATTTATTCATGCATATTTTACTAATCACATTACATTTCATTTAGCTGACGCTTTATCCAAAGCGACTTATAATGACCGATTACAGGGACATTCTCCCTGGAGTAACTAAGGGCTAAGTGCCTTACTCAAGGGCACACTAGTGGTGGTGTTCCTGGCGGGATTTGAACTCACAGCCTTCCGATCTTCAGCCCACCTCACTATCCATTAGACCAATCACTACCCTCTCAAATGGAAATATGTGTTTACATAAATGGTGACCACACCGTTTGAGACCCACTGAGAACTTAGACTAAGTTAACTATCTAAACACTCAGAGTCCTTTACCTCGCCTGAGCTGAGGTTATCCCGAGCTTGAATGACACACAGAGACCAATCAAGGGCTTTGATTTGATCATGTCGGCAGACCACATCATGTGGACAGCCAGTCACCCTGTGTGAGACAGGCCACTTAACAGGCCAGAAGGAGGCGAGAACAGAGCAAGGGAGCGAGGGATCATTGTCCACAAGTTAATCGATCGCAGATGGCGTCGTGGTCACGGACGAATAAAAAATAAAACTATAAAAAAAAAAAAAATGGGTCACGAAATATACTTGGGCGGCCGTTAATATACCCGGGCGGCCCGCCCAAGTATAGTCTATGTGTGGGAAACCCTGAACAGTGTTACAACACAGAGATGTCATTATGTTATGGAAGTAAAGGAGTGCGTTTCCCTCTGGAGGGAACTTTGGGATTTTAGCCTTTGCAGACCATTTACATGCACAAAAATCTATATATCACACTACACTACATTAAATATATCATTATTATATCGATAATATGATACGAGACAAAATAACATCCAAGATTTTTTAATATCTATATCATATGTTGTCTTTACCTGGTTATAAAAGCTTCACTACAGTAAAGTGAGGTAACTTTTTGAACTCACCAGCCTTCTAGCTGATTTGATTTGCCTTTACACAGTCAATAAAGCAGCTTACTGATGGTTATTTATAAAAACATATTATTGTGGGGCCCCCTAGTAGAGCTGGCGGCCCATGTACTGGGGCTTAGTCTCAGTGCGGAGGACCCAGGTACAGCCTCTGACCATTTTCACAGTCATCCCCTCAGTCTCCCCCTTTCAACATTGTCTCTTTCAAAGAAAGTCTGTTACAAATAATAATAATTGTGTAAATAATAAGGGAAAAACTGGTATTGTTACCTCTTCAATATAGATTTGGTATTTAATTACAATTATTAATATTCACAATATTTGACTTTCGTCATATCACCCAGCCTTATAGTTTTTCTGAGTATTTTAGCGTCATTCAACTAATTGTTTTGGTTTTTAGACTGCAACTGTTTTGTTAAGGTTCAGGCTCTCATAGCTGCTTTTTCGGCCACAACAGGCAACGTTTTTCAGGTAAAAATGCCTAAAAAGTCCACTATACACTACTTCCTTGGAACTGAACAGCAGACAGACAAAGCTAAAAGAAGATTGAGTTGACACGACTTATTTTCAATGCTTAAGTTGCTGCTTCTCACCTCGATGTGTGAATAGGCAACTAGTTTGCCATGAAAACATAGAAGGTAAAAAATGTGTGTGTCCTTGTGAGCTGCAACACAGCAAGCATAACATCAGCCCACAAACGTTATATCAGAGCATCATTTCAAATGTTCTCCCCTCTCATTTTACAAACAAAACTGCCAAAAATAATGGAAATATACATTTTTAGGCCCAGTCTGTACTCATTTTGACAGAGAATAAAGCTTCCTGTCATTGCTCTCATGATAAATATTCCTTCATTTTGATTTTGTATGAACATTTAGGCTAAAAAAAAACATCTACTCAAGAACTCATAAGTATAATGGTGGATTCCAATGAAAAGTTATTGCTTTCTCACAAATTCTAAGAAATACTTGCTCCAAATACCTGCTACTCATCCAGCTATTTTCAAACATCAGCAAAAACAGGCTCCCTGGAGTGATGTCAATTATTACATTTGTCAGATCGGACTTTATCTCAGCTGTCAGATACAAGAGAAGTTCAAATCTGGACGCATTCCAAGAAAACAAATTATCCAACTGCTCCTCGTTAAATATTACAAAACTGATCAGCTTTTATTTGCGCTGGAGTGTCTGTATGTGGGGCAACCATTAACCGAGGGCCCCGTTTGTAAAGCTCACTGGCAACATAAACATCCCACGCTAAGAAACAAAGGAATGGACTACTCAGCATTCTCCCGACTAGATACACAGATAGAGCAGGGGTAGACATTAAGGGTAAAATTCCACTGGCCCTCCGGGCCGGTGGAATTGTATTATCACTGGCTCCACCATTGTAACCTCTGGCCCGGAGCATTCGTCCAAAAAAAATCGACTAATAATGAAGAAAATTAACACATTTGTTGCAATAGTAATGTATGCACAAACTACATTACTACTTGTACTACAACATTTGAATCATCAGTTCTTCCTCATTTTCCTCAATTGTTCATATTTGGTTTATTAAAATAATGATATTGTGGTCATTGTTAAAAAATGTCTGCTATGAGTATTATTATTTGTATAATGTGCTTTCTGCCTTCCTGTTATTAGGAGTTAGTAATGTAATGTAATAGATTATAACCTTCATTATCCGCTGGGACATTTCCCTATAGCCAATACCTTTATATTCTCTACTCTTCACTTACTTGTCAGCATAGGTCGGCATTGATGTACAGAGCCGACAATAGACCTTGTTTATATCGGCATCATATAGAGCGGTGCAGTGACGCGTCCTAAGACCAGGAAGTAAGCTGATGGTTTCCTCGACAAAAAAGCAATGGGATTTCTCCACAGGGTTTTGGAAAATAGCTGTAAATAAGGCCTGTGGAAAACAAACCTGTTTGATAAATGCACGTTTTGTTTAGCCGGATAATATCCACATTCGAATCATAAATCTAATTGATAGATTATAAAAGGGTTTTAAGATGCGTCACTGCACCACTGGAAGCCAACTCCATCGATCAAGCTGGCTGAAACGTTCTCTCCCTCTTCTTCTCATGCTCCCTGTCACTCTCCTTGAACTCCTCCGGTAACTTTCTTTTATTTGAAGATAGTTTTTTGCCCGGCGCTTGGCCGGTGGTATTAAAAACATTTTGGCGAATTGTTAGGTGGCGCGATAGTCTGTAGTGAAGGAGCGCGTTCCCCCTCATAGGAGCCTGCTCTCGCTGCGCTCCGCAGCAAACAGCTGTTTGCTTTTCACCCAACAATGACAACCGACTCACGAAACGCTATGTTGTAGCGTTAATAAACGAAACAATTTAACTAATTTGCTAGTCAAAATACCAATACCAGAGGACACATTTTTTTTTTAAAGCAATATTTTCAGTGGCCCGAGCGGGCAAGTGGAAAGTACGTTATGCTGGCCCGGGGTGTCTAAATAGTGCTTCCGGGCCAGCGGGCCATTTATAATGTCGAGCCCTGTAGAGCATAAATTATTATGCACACGTAATTAGAGTGAGGGAATATTGACTAGGAGAGGAGGATACAAATGTGTATGGAAAGGTAAAAGGTACACCAGATAGAAATCAGTGTGAGCTGTGAGATGATTAGTGAGGAGCGAAGTTGCGTGTGGGAAAAAGTGTGTGTTTGAACCATTTCACCTCACAAAAAAAAACTGAACTTCCCAGAAAAACTGTTGACAAAGCCTCATGCGGTGTGGGGAATGTATTCCAAATGTGTGTGAAGTCTGCTGTGGTGTGTGAGAAAAGATAGAGAAAGAGTGTAAGGGGCTCGTCACCTCTCCAGAGAAGCTGTACTTCCCCTTGAGGATCTGCCGGTACAGCCTCATGCGGTTGTCGTCCTCGAAGGGCATGGTTCCGCTCAGCAGGATGTACGAGATCACCCCCAGCGCCCACATGTCTACGGCGTTCGTATAGGGCTTCCTCACCAGGATCTCAGGGGCGATGTACTCTGGCGTGCCGCAGGTGGTCTTCATCAGACACTCGTCCCCCTTCTTCCTGCTGCTGGCCAGACCGAAGTCGGTGATGATGATCTTGGAATCGACTCCGGGGTGGTAGTAGAGCAGGTTCTCCGGCTTCAGGTCTCGGTGAGTGATCCCCAAAGTGTGGAGGTACTTGACGCCTTCCAGAACCATCTGCAGCACCCGCGTGGCGTCACGTTCTGTGAAGGAGCCACGTGCGATGATGCGGTCGAATAGCTCCCCACCGGTGGCCAACTCCATGACCATGTACACACGTTCTGCTGTCTCAAACACCTCCATTAGCTGGATGATATTAGTATGACGGACGCGGCGCAGGACACAGAGCTCTGACTCGCACACCTCCCTCCCCTCCCGGTAGCGGGTCTCAATCATCTTGATGGCGTATGGCTGCCGCGTGCTTTTGTGCTCCACGCGAACGACCCGGCTAAAACTCCCGCGGCCTATCAGAGCTTTGATGTCGTACTTGGCCGTGACCCTGGGGTCGAATTTGGCTCTGTATTTTGCCACCTTCTTCCGCTGAGGGTCCGACAGATCGGACGGGTCCTTAGGGGGTTGGGCGGAAGCCGTGGGAGTTGCAGCTTGGGCCTGGGCCTGATATGGGGAGGTGGGGTCAGCCTTGTCCCCGCCCCCTCCACCGGCCCCGCCCATCTTGCTCCTAGTGCCATCCCCTCGTATGAAGTGCTTATAGATATCTGTCTGAAGAGGTTGGGGAGGATCAACCTGAAACATTAAGGAAGACAGTTTATCACAGATGAATTACAAACCAGAGGTGAACACATTCCGTGTTAGATTTTTGTTGAGCAAGAAGGAAAAGATTGGAGAGATAGTAAGTTTGACACACAAATAGAACCATAAGCCTTATTTCCACTGCAAAATGTAGCTTGAAAATCTCTGACTAGTCACAGGTCTAAAGTCTTTGAAATCCACCTTGGATAGTACCAGGTTCTATCAGCATCTTTTGCTAATGGGACACTGAAAAAGACTGAGTCAAGTCGAGTAGAGTCCTTGCCATTCCACATTATGCAGTGGAATGCAGCAGAAGTATATAGATAGTTTAGCCCAATCGAAACTGGATTTCTGAGGTTGATACAGATGTTGATATTTGGGAGTTCAAAAATAACAATATATTGGCTTACAGTAATTATATTTGACATTAACATATAACATCAAAGAAAAAACTTTACAACAAACCTTAACATATGTTGTTTTTTTTTTTGTGTGTGACCAAGATACTGAGCTCGGTCCAGTTCTACTCTTAAATCTTTAGTTAAACATTTTCTAGCTAAAGCTTTTAAAAATATTTGCTTTGTTTTGTGTTTTATTAAACTCCAAATGTAATTTGAAAAACTTTTGACATAAAAAAATTGATGCAATGGATAATCACAGCTCTTATAAGTTAATATTATCAATATAAATACTTGTAATATAGCCTTCATGGTAGAGTATGTAATGGTTTCTGCTGCTGTATACAATAGCAAAAGTATCTGTGGTGTTGACCTTGTTATACTGACCTTTTTGACGAGGTCCAACTGAACATCCCCTGGAGGCTCAGGGAGGACCTTACTGTTCCTGCACCCCATCACATCACCTTGGGCCGCTGCCCAGCCAGCCACACAGGCCCCCAGGAGCCCTGCTTCATCACCGCAACAGCTGATTCAACACTCAGGGCATCCAACATCCAGGCTGTGGCCTCACTCAGACAGAGGGTTCATGAATAAAGCTGATTACACCCACTCAAGTCCCAAGGAGCTGGCATCAGCAGTCACGAACACACCCGATACATCCACTTAAGTCTGGTTAAAAAAAAATCCCCAAATTTATGAATATATTCTGGGCAAGCACGGTGTGTGTCTGGGCTCCATCAGCAAGTACTGTATCACTGGTTGTCTTTTGTAACAGTGTTCTTTTATGGTCTCACACACACTGCACAGTCGGCAGGCTGGGGGGTACCTCAAGCCCCTTGAAGAACCAACCAGGGCCCCATCTCAGAGGAAGAAATATGTTGAATGTTTGATTGAAAACTGCATGAGCACAGCTAGTATGGAAGCTCGAGGGACACAAATAATTGAGGGAGAGAAGTTCCCGAAACAGGTTTATGTGTGGTTGCCTTGAGGTGAAACGCAGAAAGACTCAAGCAGAACTTCCACAGAAAATAAGATAATCTGCGCTCCGATCCATTGATGGAAGCTGCAATGTCAGCAGCCACAGATAAAGCAGCTCCCCTGCAGAATCACAGGCTGGAGAACAGTGGAGGGGAGCTCTGAAATGTAGAAAAGGAAAAATATGAATCGTGAGTTATTATGGTTAGGCTCACACATGGGTATGATATGCTGAATGCTGACACAACAAGCGCTGATTTATATTAGGCCATTGACAGGCAGAACATAATTTTAGCACTCAAGTAACACACCATTTGAGTTGCTTGATGAGGCCATATTGTGAACATTTCAGCCAAAGTATACAGCTCCCCCGAACATGTTGTGAATGGCCAAGAAAACAAGGGGTATCTTCGCCATTGTAAGAAATAGCTGCATTATCACAGATGGTCATGTTTATCAACTTAATTAAAATGTTCAGTGACAACAATAGAACATTCAATTGAATATAACTTTAAAATGTTATAAATATAGTAGACGCGGAAAACCCATGACACGAGTCCATTTACGTACATTGAATGGACAGTTGCATTAAAGTTTATGTAAAATAAAAAAATAAAAATGGCCAGGCCCCACTCATGTCAATGTCTTTAGCCAAAAAGTCAGTGGACCGTTATTTTTGGCAAACATCGGTATAACAGCAAACTGTCAAAAAACGTTAACAAATAACCCCGACTTGACAAGTGTCAACTTGACAAAGTCTCACCTCATTACTTATCCGAGATAACGAAGTGTCTTAGCATGCTAACTAGCCTGTTAGCATCAGGGCAGGACTCCCAACTTTGCCAAATCCAGCCTCCTCACCCCACTCTCACTCAGCTGGGCTATCCATTTTCAACTCGTAGTTTCCCAACTTTACTCCCGAGGACAAACAATTAAAATCCTCCACTTCATGTGTTGGCGAGATTTTGTGTCATTTCCGAAGTTTCATGATGTGTGTTGAAGCTGAAGAAACTTTACGAAAACATGCAACGTTTTTGCTTTTCTGGACGGTGTTTTTCTCCTAGGAGGACCACCTTCCCACAGCCAGAGAGAAATGAAAGGAGACATAATGCAACATACATGTTCCGGTTTGAATTTTCACAATAAAACGCTGTTTGGGAATTCTTTGCAAAATATTATTTGGAACTACATTTCTCCTTATTTAAGAATAAAGTTAGACAAATAAAATGTGAGGGTGTCTACAATTTTCCTAGTAGGTGTTTAGTTCCGGCATGCTACATATTAAAGAAGTAACATCCAGCATGATGCTTCAGGGGCCCAGAAACGTCTACTACTTTTCAATTAACTGGTGTGTGCTGGCTCATTGAAAACGTGTAGACGTTGCAGCAATAAATTACCTGATACATGATGATGATGATGATGATGATGATGATGATGATAGGTCGTCCTTTATAACACAATCTTGACAAGATGTTCGAAGACCTTCATTAAGTCAGTCTTGTTGTGTGTGAGTGTGTGTGTGTGTGTGTGTGTGTGTGTGTGTGTGTGTGTGTGTGTGTGTGTGTGTGTGTGTGTGTGTGTGTGTGTGTGTGTGTGTGTGTGTGTGTGTGTGTGTGTGTGTGTGTGTGTGTGTGTGTGTGTGTGTGTGTGTGTGTGTATGTGTGTGTGTGTGTGTGTGTGTGTGTTCCATATTCATGGATGAACACATGTAACCATCACTAGAATGAAGTCTGGGGTCAGGTTTGCCTACTGTAGTAGTATTTTCTGCAAAGAAAAAAATGCTAACATTCTCACATGGAGTGGGAGGAATCGAAGGTTAATGGAGCCAATTTGTTCCCCGGGCCCATCAGTTATCTTGAGAAAAGTGCCTTTATTATTTTTCTTAAGTTTGTGGGGAACATTATACAAATGGAGGGAATCTATCTGCTTATATAACTCATATAATATATTTGTTTTCCCCGCTATCAACTTCGTATGCTCTTAATTTGAAGCGGCCCAACTTCCTGTGTACTTCTATCTGTCTCTGGCTTGCATGATGGAGCTCATCTTCGGCCCCAACTTCTTCTTGTGGAGACGGGACGACCTCCCTCGGCTTTGTATCGACCCCATTAAGTCCTCACCGTCACTTCCTGGATACAGAGAGAGGTCCCTCTGACAAAGTGCTGACTTCTCTCTTGGAAAAGTACAAGAAAGTCTGCATGGTCACGTAAGCTGCTAACTTACAAGTTCAAGTTAGAAGAACCACAGCATGACTCCTTCATGACCCTCATTTAATATGTACAGGCCTCAAGTAACACAGCTGAGAAAATTGGTGATATGCTCGACATCTATCTACAGACATCTGAGCAAAATATGGCTATTATAACATGACAATTATAGCTTATACTTCTTTTGTTATTTTTTGTATGTGGTGGGGTCCCACTAGGACATGTTCGGGGACCCCTGGTGGTTCACAGACCTCTTTGGGGATCAACTAAGCCAGTTAATTCACAACAGACACACAGATGGATCAGTTTATGTAATTCATATACAAGCCACGTTAAATTCACCTCCAAGTTACTTCAGTACCTCCAGTCTCAAAACATTATATAAACAGGTCTCAGATATGTTTAGACATGTGCTTCACAAAGTATGAAATTGTCTTTGCATGCACACATGTGTTTTCATTTAGAAGATCTTTAAAGTGGTTAAAATGTTTATTTTGGGTCTATTTAAAGATATTAATGTGCAGAAGATGTATTCCTGCAGGGCAGCACATCGTACTGATGTTGTAATCTGTTGCACATCATTTCCACATGGTGTCACTGTACACATAACAGTCCATTTAAAGGGAAAGGTAGGGGTACTTTAAAGTTATTTTATTAGGCTGGCTGTTGCTTTGCATCCCAACACTCGTGCCTCATCCAAGGTTGTAAAACAGAGTGAATGAGTGGCATTCACTCACACCCTGCTTGTATGTAATGCAAAAATACTAGGCCTTGAAGAGTGTACTGGACTCCTTGTACACTGACCGTGACTCATACAACCTTTACAGGATGCAAAAGAGTTTTGTAGAAGCATTAAAAGTGGGGAAATTATTAAGAGGAAGACAAATGTTCCACAACAATAGTGAGAGAGACAGTAAAATTCATCTCATGATGCCAATAAAGCTCCTTGAATTGGATTGTGGGAGGGGAAATGAGTGGGAGATGGAGGCAGTGGTGACAGAGGAAAACAACGGATGACAGATGGTGGGTACCAGACAGAAATATAGGGGGAAAGGAGGGAGGGAGGAAGGGGCAGAGAGTAATCAAAATGGAAAGAGGGAGATGTGGAGAGATAGAGAAGGAAGGGAAGAAACAGTGCAGTGAAGAAAGGAGGGAGGGAGAGCGAAAAGACAAAGAAAGATGATAAAAGCAAAGAAAGAGAGTCTCCGAGGGCCCGTACTCGCCTCTCTATCCGCAGTGCAGCTGAGGTCAGGGCCCCTTCTCGGCACTGCAACTCTCTGCTACATCGTCATCCTGGTGATTGATCACCGCTTTGTCGCACTCTGATTAAGATGCTTTGTCTGAGTAGTGCGCTTCTATTGACACTTGTGTGTATCCCTCCACATCTCAACCCAGCTCTCTATTCCCCCCCCGTCTATCTCCATCTCCCTCACCATCCCGTCCCCTTGTTTCTATCTCCAATTTTCCAACCCCAAAGGTCAATATCATTTATTAGATCTAGATTTGCTGACTGCTGTATTATTTATCCATACAGAGGAAAAGGAGCTGCTCCATTAAAAGCCCAATTGACTCCGTGTGTGTGTCTCCGGCTCCATTAATATTCCCATGATGGTTCCCCCTCATTTGTGTGTGTGTGAGAAAATAATTTTGCATGTGCCAGCGAGTACTCTGTAAAATAGCAGCAGAGGATGAGTAAGCAAGTAAGGGCTAGTGAGTGGCCAACTTTATGTGTGTGTGTGTTTACAGGCAGTCAGGTGCAGTGGGACGACAGCAGAAACTGACATCCTGTGTCAGATATTGTTTGAGGATATTGCTATTTCTATGCCCTGCCCCACTCCCCTCCCATACTCCAGTAGGGGTCTCCCCTAGAGAGGTAAGTAAAAAGACACTGCTGCATACTGTCAGTAAAATCTGGACATAGTTAACTCACTATTGATTACAACAGGCGCATAATTCCCTGAGGCAATATTGTATGACTACTATCCTGACACTGCAGTAGATGCAAAATATCCCAAAGTACATCACACTCATTATAAGGATCTTATGACCACCTCAGGCTAGCTATTAGTTTCCAGGGGAATATTATGAATATTAAAGTGATATTTCTATTCTTGTCAGAAGGTGCAGCGTCTTCATGGCAGGTGTCATCGAGACGTTGGGATTTCAGTCGGTCCCTGTTGAACTCTGCATGTAGGAAACACCCATGGTACAATAGTCCAGTTACTGCTCCTGCTGTGTTTTTGGAGTTCTGGACATTTCTCAAAATCAGCGAGTCAATGTCCTTAAAAAATCAAGTTGAAGGGTGTTGACAGCTGGATAGCAACTGACAAGGTTGTTTGCCCTTAGACTGTCAAACCAACACCATCCCTACAGTGAGATGTAGAAAGAGAAGCACTGAATCTCCCGCCCCTGACACACAAGCAGCGGTTTGATTGGCTAGAGCTTGTACTGCCATATGATTTGATTGGCTGACGCTTCCACCGAAGCTTCAGAAGCTTCAAAAGTTGAACATTGCTCAACTTTTGCAGCCTGAAACACTTTTTTGCAATTGCAGTTACACTTCAACTATAATAAAAGTGGGTTTAATAAGTAGATATTTTCCTGATGAACAAATGTGTGTTTGCCAAAGTTCTTATTTTGGCAATAATACAAACACAATGGACAAGTCCCATTAGCTTTAAGTTGAGGTAGCCATTACGAAACTAACTTCTGGGTTGGCCTATGAAAATATGTCAACTGGTTAATTCATTGGTAATCAAACTTCAAATAATAGTTATTTTACTTGGGGCAGTTGTGCACCTCCAGGAGGGATTATCCACCATTCGTAATTTCAATGACGTATGTATAAATAAAGGTTTAATATTTCAGTTTTTCATTGATATCACTTGTGGATACAAGACTTTTCAGAACATATGTTGTTGACCCATTCTGGTTGTGTGCTTTTTTATATTCCAAGACAAACATGCAGCAAATTAGGCACTGGTGGTGCCTAGTTCTCCTCAAAAAACTTTCCCATGCCGTATGTTTCTTTAATTTTACAATTCACATTTGCATTCTTGAAACTATTTGTTACACTGTAACCAGACTATATCATTTTTAATGAATGTTTTTAATGTTTGTCTTTCATTCACCAAGGTCTGAAGAGAGGTCGCAAGGACTGCAAGACTGCAAGAGGCGACGGGAGGGAAAAGGCAATGCAGGTAGAAGTTGTTGAATCACAAATGATAAAGTCTTGAACCAGTGTGAATGTTAAACATTTAACCTCTCTTTGTCAAATATATTTCAGGATGAAGAGGTTGTGAGGTTCCACAAAAGAAGCAGGCCATCATTTGAGATGGGGTCATGAGTGACCGCTGCAGGGGGGTTCACTAATGCCTCAAAATGTATTCGTTGTCACGATCTGTCTGTTTATTATTTTGTCCTGTCTTGTCTGTTGCTTTCTGTGTTCAATAAAATTGAAAGTCCTGAATTCAAAGTGTTTCTTAAGTAAAAGAGTATAAGTATTATCAGCTAAATGTACTCGACGTATCAAAAGTAGAAATACAGTATGTGGAATGGCTCTGTTCACAGTATTATATTACCATTGATATTATCCTGTCAATTCTATCAATTTGTCAATACGATGGCACTTTTTTAATATATTTTTTAAAATACTGGTAGGAAATACAGTACTATATGATTTCATTTATATCACATGTTTTTCAGTAAAAAGTGAGTAAATATACAATATTGCCTCTGAATTAAAATTAAATTAAAATTAAAAAGGTGTACGTTAAAAAAACAAATGAAGGCCCTTTCTTGAAGTCATAACTGAAATAATTGATGCAATTAACATGCAAATAGACATTAAAATATGATTTGAAGGCTGTTA